TTTATTTAAAAATAATATAATTATTTCTTTATTAAAAATAAAAATTAGTGTGTAATTATATTATTATGATTTATTTTATTTATTTTCTTATTATTTTTTTATAAAATTAATAATTTTAATGATAATATAAAAATATATATATACTTAATTATTTTTAAATATTTTCTTATTAATTATTTAAGATTGAATAATAACCACTGACTATTGTATAATGAAACAATTATATTAATCACATCTGCTTTCTATTATCTATTATATATTATCTGATATCTACTTTCCATTATTCATAACCTCCTATTCATTACTCGCTACTCATTATCCACTAAATTTCAACCTCTATTTAATTAGAAACTCAGTAGTTCTATATATATATGTATTATTTTATAGGAGCTCAAGGAAAATTCAATGACCAAAATAGGGGACCATGCCCTTAGGTTAGGGCATGCAATATCACTAATTATGTACCAATTAGATTTAAAAATAAAAATAAAAATAAACACACACACACAAATCATACCATCCACAGGAGACGTTGGTGATGTCTGGAAATCCGCATCCATATAAACCTCAAAGGCATTGAGAAGGGGTGGAAGACTAGACTCTGCCATTGCATTAATTGAAAAGCTCACAAATCCATCCGAAGCGTTCCAAGGTCCTATGCTTACTGGTTTTAAGTATTCAAGAACAACCGGGGTTAACTTCCCATCATTTAACGTAATGCTGATTTCTCGTCGTTGATCTTCTGTGGTATTTACAATCTCATCAAAATAGAAGTAGACATATAGATCCGATTTAGAGTAATAGTTTGAATAATCTAATGAGTCCCAGTGATTCAGAGGTTGTGAAGCCGTTCCCAGAATCTTCATTGGAATCCCATAATTATTGTTACCAGCTTGGACATCAATGTCTGCCCTCGTTTGGATTAAATGTGCTTTAGAAAAATTGTAATGATTCCAAACACGATCGTAAATATCATCTTCGTATCTAAAGAGGAAGAAAATGATATAATAAAGGTACTTTCGACATTATACATTTATAATAATCAACTTTTCTATTCACAATTAATATTTAATTACTTAAGAGTTAAGTGCGTAATTCTAAACCTACAGGAGATTAGAAGCATCGCCCACCCCAAATCGCATTAGGGATAAGGGTAACGACAATTTGCATTAAAAAGAGTTGGAGTCAAACTGGTTTTGCTCCCCACGTTATATATACACAACATGAGATGACACTAAGAGATCCATTTTATTTATCAAATTTTTGCACAATATAGTTATAAATATTTATATATATATTAAAGTTCATAAAAACACAATTATTATATATTAAAATTTCATGTTTACTCTTATTACCAATCGAAGTCGGGAGGTTGAAAAAAGAAACTTTAATATTATGTATAAAATAAAAATTGATAAGTAAATTGAAAAACTTCTTTTTAAAAAAATGTACTTAAAATAGCATGGGATAATTATTTATGGGCCGAAACTGACAAGCCAAGACAATGCCAACCATTGATCATGGTGCACGACCCACTGGGCGAGCAAGTTTTGGTACACAATTCATTTATTATAAATTTTTTTAATAAAAACTAAAATAGTCTGCTTTTAGTTATAAACAAAAATCAAAATTAAAAATAAAAAGCAACTTCATTAGGCCGTTTAGTAATGTTGGTTTAAGATTTTAGTTTTAGTTATTAAAATTTAAAAGCAGTGAATTAAAATAAAAAATTTAATAAATTGAAACAAAATAGTTTTAGCTATCATTTATAAAATTTTTTACTTAAAAAGATGTTAATTTAAAGTAAAAAATTTTAATTTAACGATTAAGGGTCCATTTTAATCTGTTGACCATCCTCCATATCAAAACTAAACATAAAAACATAGCATAGGTTCTTATTACGTACCTGGTGAAATAATAGACGGGCATGACGTCATAACGGGTTCCTAATCGTAGTGCTCTTGATTCAATCTGGTAAATGGAGTCGTTCAAAAGCCGAAGTTCCAACCCGGAAATGATTGGAAAACCGGAGCCATTATTCACCAAGCAGACATCTATTGTGTCGGTCCGTAAAAATTGGATGACTTCATCGTACCTGTACTTGTTGATCCCTAAATCGTCCACAGTCATCCAATAATTCACGCCTAGGTATAGCTCAAACGTAGGGGGTTGTCGCAGGCCATCATAATTTCCATAATAGAAGAAGACTCTGAACAAGTAGTGGTGGCCTTTGCCTTGTTCAGGTTTAAGGTGGTAACAGTTCTTCTTTCCCTCCGGAAAACTTCTCAGGGTATTAAGCATCTGCCCAAGTTGAGGATTGCCAGCCGTGTATTGTGGGGATACCAGTTTATTCAGTCCAGTTGTAACGAAATCCGAATCTGACTGGTAATAGATTCCACTTTGCTCATCCTTATAATCTTCATTCACCCCACAATCAATGCTTATTGAACCTTCACTCCATACAAATTAGAATCATGTTAATAATAATTAAACATCAATTTGGAACTCAAATTAAAAGAAAATAAAATTAAACAAAGAAAGTTATATTATTTAAAATTATTATCAATTTATATATGTAGTTTAATAAGCTTGGATTCAGTTACCTGGCCTGTCAATGGCAGTAACGAGCTTTCTTGGTTGGATGTGTTTATCGTGTCCCGCGCACAATCTAGACATGAGGACTGCAAGAATGAAGACCGCCCATGCCCGTGGTTTAAAGACCAATGTTTTGCCAGCAGTCATTTTACTAACAAATATTGATTCGCAGAAATGGATATAAAATTGCAAGCTATGGATTATATAGGATTTAGCAGACAAGGATTTACCTTTATTGGAGCATAAAATACGGCAAATGAAACGCAATGTTTATTGAGAAGAGCAGTGCTAGGGGCACTCGCCTCTTGCACTCTCTGGCCAACACTTTCACTCCACGTTATTTTCGTGGTGAGAGGTTGCGGTTCAAAGCCTGAAACAAGCTTACGTGGTTCACTGAAAGGAGAAGTGTTGGCCGGAGAGTGCAAGAGGCAGTGCTCCTAGCACTTCTCTATTGAGAAATGCTAAGTACACTCTCTCTACACTCTTTTTTAGATATCTTTTTGCCATATAATAAAACATAAATTTATAGTGATGAATAATAATTTTAAATTTTAAAAATATTAATTTTAATATCAATTATTAATTATTAATTAATTTAAATTTATATTTTATGTAATTCAATCACATAAAGAATATTGAAAAGAATATGTTCAAAAAAGAATGTCAAAGAAAGTATTCCTAGCACTATTCCTAAC